AGGTAGATAGGAAGGAGGGCAAAGAGAATCAAGACTCCAGCTCTGCACTTGTGCAAAGGAAAACAGGAAAATCCAGCCTCCAAGTTCAGTTCTGCAAGCAGGTAAGCTGCTCTCTCCATGAGTGGTGAAGATGGAAACGAGGGAGAGGACTCTACAACATAGACCTCTGTATCCTATGCATTCTCCTAATCACTTTCCACCCTGGAACATTTGAGAATAAATCAAACCTCTCTGGACAAAATGAAACTTACCATGTTCTGAAGATGTTCCATTTTTCAAAAATGCAATTCCTTTGCATAATTCTGCATCCTTTAAAGTACTGAAGTAAGCAGGGAATCACCAATGTAGTCAGAGACAGAGTCTGCAGCTTTATTTTTTCAGTATTTCTTTTATGAGTGCATATTTGAAGTACTTAATGTTTACACTCCTTGAGTGGAGTTGGTACATATACATAACATATCTTAATTTCCTTTTCTTCATCCCCTTTCCCTTTCCTTCCTCACCTTTCCATCCATCTCTTGAGCCTTTTCCAGTTTGGTTTTAAAGTTGTGATGTGTTCTTCTAATACCGTGTCACTTCCTGTGTTATTAGTACCTAGGGACCTCTCTTTAGCAGAAATCATAATGACAAAGATGTAAAATCTGAATTGGTTGAGCAGTAGAGGAGATGTAAGAGGGAAGTTTCTACCTTTTACTTCTCATCCTATTCTGACATATATGATTTATCAAACATTACCTGAATATATTTCCTACTCTTGGAAAAGTAGATTTAGTGTCTCAAATTGTTTCCCTTTCCAGGAGGCCATCAGTCCTATCTCTTATTTTTATTCTAGAATTTTGGGGCCAACCTTAGGAAAATTCATTAATTTTTTTTTACCCCTCAGAGTAGTTGGGAGTCTCCAGACCACTAACCCTTGCTCCTTTGAGCATGGAGTATTTGAGCTGAAAACAGCTGAGAAAAGAAAGATACAATAAAAGCTCTCCACCATCCCCCTGCATCAAAAAGCAGGACCTAGATTCATAAAATTGTCCACCCTGCCAATGTTCACCAGTAAGGCCAGATGTCAATCTCCAGACTCCCAGAACGCAGGCAGTCCCTGAGGAAACTTCATAACAAATTTTGTAAAATTCAGGCTTTGTCTACTGTTAACTTTCCTATATATTTGCCATCTCACCAGCTTTCACCCAAGAAACTCAAAATTATTTTCCTTTTCCTTGTCACTTCTTTAAAAATTTACTTTTCTATTTAAATGTTCCCTAAGCTCACATTTTAACAATCCTTTGCATTTCTTATCTGTTGAGGATGCCAACATGCATGTGTGATAACGTTCTATTTCTGTTTGCATGTCTCTTGCTGATATGTCTTCTGTTAGTCTAGTTTACAGTGACTCAGATGGAGAATTTAAGAGGCTGGAGAAAACATATATCTTCTTCTCCCCAACAAAAGAAGCATCACACTTAAAAAAAATGGTACTGGGGATTGAGTCCAGGACTTTCACAATTAATTTTTGTTATGAGTCAGAGTCATCCTAAGTGAATAAATTGTCAAGGCTTGGTTCAGTTTGGAATCCTTCTGCCTCCACCTCCCACAGTTTCAGAATTACAAGCATGTGTGAACATTCTGGGCATGAAAGAGCTTCAGTCTTACTTGTTCTTAATTCCCATATCTCTAGTGCACTGGTGCTCATTGAGTAAAATTCACCTTTGTGAAAGACCTATCAGGTTGAAATCTGGTTATCTATAAATTATCTTCTTGGTTTTATGATAATAAAAAAAGTCTTGAAAGAATTTTTCAAGAATGGGGCTTGTGCACAATTTCATCTGCTGCTTGTTTATATCAACTTCACCCTTTCCATGCAGTCATCTGGAACAATTTGTATCACTAGAATGAACCCTGAAACTACTTACAGTCTGTTGTCTTGTCAGTCAGATGCCCCTTGTTTACAAAAATTAAGTTTTGCTTGCAAATAACCAACAACCTGTTCCAACCACCCACCATCAGTGGAATTATTATATACCCCCCACTGGCCAGTAGATGGCGCCAGACGTCTCCAATGGCTCTGGAGGCCACGTGGACCAGAGCAGTTTGAGAATATAATGAGAAAATTAGATTTATGAGATTGCAATGATAAAAAAACACACACACCTGTGCCAGACATATCTGACCATGTATAAATTAGGGAAGAAAAGAGCTGACACCTGCTTCCTGAAGATCTGCTCCTAAAAATCCACAATGAAAGATGAAACAGATTAGAAAATTAAAAATTGGACTATGGCAAGTTATAGGAAGAAAAAGAAGACCTACTTGTCTACCATCATTTAATCTTTCTGGGAACATGTTTAAGTCCATTCCTTTTCTGGGCCTTCATTATTACAAAAATGTAAGAACTCAATTTTGAAAACGAGAAAAACTTTTCACTAGCTTATGGGATTCACCCCAGCTAGCAGATCTGGACTTCTGGAGCACACTGTGTCCTCCAAAGAGCACTTCAATGACCCACTGACCCTCAGCCTACTCTATACAAATTAAAAGGGATGTGGATAAGGGAGTTCAGGAGAGGACTGATGTCTTGCAGATCTACAGTAACACAGAAAGGACATGTCCCAAGGCTGTCACCAGGATTCAGTTCCTTGGCTTTGCCTTGATCCTCACCCATACCAGATGATCCCCTAGAATAATGTCAGCTTCTCCCTTGTCCCTCACTCTCTGGCTTTGTGGGGGTCCTGGAGGTAGTTAAGACCCCATGGTCAATGGGCTTTCCTTTGGGCTGGGCCAGGCCTTGGGCTCCTGAAATGAGAGGCTCTGAAACTCTGATGTTTCTAAGTGGAGCAGGGCAGGACACAGAACCCAGGGATAATTATCCACCCTAAACCTCAGTTCACCCATGAGTGAGCAGGCTTTGGTGAAGCTTTCCCCCCATACCGTGGAAGTTTGAAAAGCTATGATTCATGCTTGCATGATGAGTATGTACAATCTATTTGCATAGAATCCCAAAACTTTCTTGAAAGATGTGGGTTTTTTGTCATTACTCTCTTAAGTCAGTGTCTGCCCAGATTTTGCCCCCTTTGTTCCTAAATCCTTTCTACTTTTGAGTGGTACTTACTGTCTTGCTTATGATCATCTGGAAGTTCATGCTCAGGATCGTTTTGATACTTGCATGTTACCAAAGCTCTCAGCTTTCATTTGCAGTATTCAACTTTTGTCATACTTTGTGTGTAATCTTTTCCCCAGTCTAAACCATCATCATTTTCTATTGGAAGGAGAGAAGTAGTTTTCAAGAAAACCAGTAACTATCATGCATTTTCATACTTTCTGATAATATTGGTGGCAGTAAGTTGCCTGCCCAGCCCAACACACATGTAAGTACTATGTATATACACTCCAGGACATATTAGCACACAGCCACATGCCGGTCAGATCACATCACACACATCGGATGCACAAGTGTGGATACATTTCCTAAGATGTTTGTTGAGTGCAAGTCAGGCATTCAGTCTTTCATTTAATACATATCACTGTGCCTGATGTGTAGTCATCTGGGATCTGCCAGAGAATAATATTGATGAGTTTCTTTGCCCTTATGGAACCTTCACTCTCATAGGGGAAGCTGAGAAAAAAAAAAAACCCAACATAAATAGGTGAAAGATTCCATGAACATGTCCTGGAAAGAAAGTAGTGGGATTTAAGTGAATGTGAGAGTGAGAGAGGGCATAGGTATGAACAGATGGTCAAGGAGAGCTGGGTGAGAAGGAAGCCTGAAAGCATGTGTTCAGGGGCCACCTGGGCCAACTCTTCCTAGACAGACACTCAGTCCATGGCTCTTTCAGGAGAGTCTGGCGATCCAGTCCCCACACAAGGCCTGGGTCCTCTGTAGCCTAGACTCCCAGGCTCAGCCCAGCATTACTTACTGGTGATGACACCTTCCTCTATAGAGAGTTCCTGTTGGCATCACCCTAGGTCTAGCTTTGGGGATGCAGATGCTTCTCTGCCCCTTTCCCGTTCTAATCCCTACAGCTCCTGCATGACCAAGTTCCTCCTTCATGCAACAGGAAAGAGGTGTGAGGAAGGGCAGCTCTCACAACACAGGCTCAGTCTTATTTTCACCTTCACGGTGGTGCTTTTTGGTGGTGGTGGGTTTTGTTTTTTTTTTTAAGAATTTGCAAGCTTCCTTTTCTCGTTGGTTTGATAAGAAAAATTTGGAACACACTACACCTGAATCCACAGTTGAGGTACAGAACTAAAAGGGAAGCCTGTGTACAAGGAGTCCTTATGAGATCTGAGATTGTGGGGCTCATTCCTGCTTCAGTGTCTGTGTGTTAGCCTCTCAGAAGTCAACCTATTCTGAGCTGTTTGGACTCTGTTCCCACAGGACCTGCCAGGGAACAATGAGTTACTAAGTGGCACAATAACAGAAGGCTCTGCGGCTCCCAGGAGTGCAGGGTGCCCTAAATAGTCCTGTTTAGGGTGAGAGGAGAGCATCATTTCACACTCAAGGTTGAGGTGAGGACCTGATGGACTGTAGCCCCCTGACGTCTGTTTTCCATCTGCTGCCTCTTGACCCAGCACTCAGGGTTATCCCTGGGTCAAAGGTACTCATTGCTGGGCCATTAGTGACTCTTACTTGCTGTCCTAGCTGGATGTCTTGGGATACTGACAAGCACCCGAATCCTGCACAGGGGCAGTAAGGAAGAAAAAGAGACTCAGTCAGCACAGAACAGAGAGGAGTGGGAGGCTGGCTTAGAGGATGTTGTGAGGCCAAGGAGTTTGCTGTGTTGCCTCCCCTCTCTACCCCAATCAGAGCAGTGAGAAAACCACAAGTCACCTAGAAGGAGTTAAAAACACCAAAGGTCAGGAGGCTGTGGACTCCAGCCAGGTTGAGAACAGAAGAGAAAGATCTCTCATTAGAGCTGTGAGCTGGCCCTTTGCAGGCCTCCTGCTCCTCCATGGCCTATGCTGGGGTCACAGGGGTTTACTGAGTTATTAATAGGTCCCCCTTATATTTGCTATTTTTAAAAACCAGTTTTTCCTATGCTCTCTGTTCCCTTTCAGGACAAGCTGAGAACAGAAGCAGTTTTTTGGCGCCAAATCTATGACTCCACCTCCCGCAGTAGTTTCACTTTCGAACTGCCTCAGCTCCAGAAGTGGCAGCTCTGCAGGACCAGCGGCTGGTAGGGGTTGTTTTCCTGATAGGCCCAAGCGGGCTCATCAGGTGGAGACTCAGAGCAGGTGTGGGTGTCTGAGAGCGCGGTGGGGGTGCACAGTGTTTCCTGACAGCAGAGCACCCTACTGTCTACCCCAGGGAAGGCCAGAGAATCTGCTCAGAGAAAAACTCACGAACCCGACTTCCCTTATTCTACTCCCCTCCCAATCTCCCAACAGTGAGGTGGGGTTGTAGGGCGGGCGACATGGATGGGTTCACAGAAATAGCTACTGCAAGAGACAAGGGGACAGACACGGCTCCTGGTCCTGCCTCCACAGCATCTTGTCAGATTCTCATTGGTAGACACAGAGCTTCTGGCACACATCCCACGGAGGCCCGATACTCACCCTCTTTCCGTGCTCCCCTTGTCCGAGCTCTGCTCCCTCCCTGCACTCCCAGGACCTGCAGTTTTCCTTGAGGAAGGTCCTGTCCTGGAGAAGAGACAGCGATCTTCCTATTTCTCCAGTGCTCTGTCCCCAGGAATAATTGAGCCCTACAACTCACTTCTCCTCCATCAGCCTCTTTCTAGTTCTCTTAATGTCAGTTCACTCAGTGGTCGTAAAAAGAATACACCCTTTCTTCCAATTGCCTTGGTTTCTTTTATTCGGGGCTGGTTGTGTCTCCACCAAAACTGTATGAACATGATTTTTGTGACATGTGTGGAGCAGGATAGGCATTCAGGTGGAGTCCAATTTGACTGTCTAAACAGAATCCTCTGTAGAATACACAGGGTTCCAATGTTTGTTAGTGCCAATTATAAGGAGATAATTCTGATGCTAACTGACTAACTATTCTTGATCCTTATTAGAATAGGAAGGAGTTTCACATTCCCCCACCGAGTTGTGGCTCTTTCTGTAACTTCTGTGAGGAACTCTGCAGTCATTTTCCATCTTTCTCAGCCTGTTGCTCCTTAGACTTTCCCACTGTGATGGAATGTTCTATGTCCTAGCTGACGTGTGTGTGTGTGTGTGTGTGTGTGTGTGTGTGTGTGTGTGTGTATGTGATGCTGGGGATGGAACCCAGGGCATTACATATATCAGGCAAGTGCCCTACCACTGAGTTACATCCCCACCTATTTTATTATTATTATCATCATCATCATTATTATTATTTTGCTTTTATTTTGAGATAGGATATCACTGAATTGCCCAGGTTGGCTTTGACCTTGTGATCCTCCTGTATTACCCTCCCAGATAACTGGAAGTACAGATACTCACCACCACATCAGGCTGGGCTCTTCTATAGCCACCAGTCACATGTGAGTATTCAGCAACTGAAATGTACATAGCAGGACTGCTGGATTTTAAATTTCATTAAATTAAATTTAAATGGCCACATATTGCAGTGGCTATAGTATTAAACAACTCATATTTGTCCATGTTCTAAATTCTGACCTGTTTCTTCCTTCTAGAGAGAGGCCTGCAACCTGTGGAGGCTAATCCCAACCAGCTCCTGTTACAAAGGCTCAGGAGAGACGATTTCTATCCCTGTGGAAATTCTGGGTACTCTTCTTCACCTCTAAATCCAACATTGGAGCTACTTTGGGGAAAGCTATGGCCTTGGCTATCATCACCAAAAAGATTAAAGAGATCGCCACCTGCTCCATCTGCCAGAACCTAATGATGAGCCCAGTGAGCATCACCTGTGGACACAGCTTCTGCCAGATGTGCTTGGAACAGCACCTTTACAGGGTGCAATCCAGTCAGGGGCAGAAGATGTTCCCCTGCCCTCTGTGTCATGTTCCATTCAATAAAGACAGCTTCCGGGCCAACAGGCATCTGGAGAGCATTACTGAAGTCTTCGAGGAGATGGACCATGATCTGGTGTGTGAGGCCCATGGAGAGCAGCTCCTGCTCTTCTGTGAAGATGACGGCCAGCTCATCTGCTGGTGCTGTGAGCGGGGATCACAGCACCAGGGACATGCCATGGCGCTGGTGGAGGACGTGTGCCAGGGCTACAAGGTGAGTGTGCCTTTGGCAGGGACGCACCTGGTGCTCCTCCCTAGGCCTGAGGGGAATGACCCAAAGACTAAGATGATGGCCTTGAAATACAGCCTTGTTTTTCTAGTTGAAAAATAGCTTCTGATGGATTTTTTGCAGAGTCCAGTCCAAACTGTCCATAATGACATTCTACAGGATGCTCAGACTCCTGTCCCCATTTCCTGTGTTATCATGGATTTCTCCCTGCTCTGGGACATGTCCAGCCAGACACCTGTATAGGCTCTGCTTCACACTGTGTTTACTATGAGAAACCACAGTATGCAGGACTCTACAGGAGGATCTGGAACCATGACAGAGGGGAAGAGGATGCACACACTACCTGTGGGGACCCTATAGTCTAGTAGAGTTAAAAACCAGTAAAGTGATTGCCTGGAGCCCCAGCCTTTGGCAGTGAGAGGGCAGGAAGGGAGGGAGTGGTGCATCCCAGAGGTGGCTCCTGAGAAAAAATAAGCTTAACCCCAGCAGGGTGTCTAGATAGAGGAAACTACACATGGTGCAGAGGCACAACTTGGGGTGCCCCTGCCTCACCATGACCAGGCCCTGGGGTTTATATAGGTGGGGACAGGTGAAAGAGAGCAGGGCCCAGGACCTGAGTGTCAGCACCCAGTCTCAATCCTAGACCACAGTGTTACCTGCCACTGGGTATTTTCACTTGCAGAGTAAAATGGTAGTAACTGAAAAAAATCACCCAGGAACTCCTAAAATAAAAGGAATTTCAAGGTTAGAATTCTAATTATCCCATCAAGAAAGGCAATGAGACGATAGTTTCAAGCAAGTTTTTAGGAAGAGCCACAGAGTAGGAAATGAGTGTGTGGGGTATGACTGGAGGGAAAGGTCTGGGCAGCTCCTAGGTATCCCTAGAGTTTGTAAGGGACAGGCCTGAGAGTAGTCCTGCTGCCCCCGCCCTCAGCCTTGCTGGAGCTGAGAACCCTGTACTCAGTGTGGGTTCCTGGTTAATCCTCCATGACATAGACCTGGGTTCCTATGAAAACTCTGTGACCTTCCTAAGATCACAGCAGCCCTGACCATTGCTCAGCACATGCAGTGCTTCCTTAGAATCCATGGAGCTGCTAATACCTGTAATGAAGATATTCCCATTTGAGTTTCTCTACCACAAAGTGTTAGGCTAAGGAGCAGCACAGGTTGTCAGCCTCAGAGGCCTATGGTTGAGGTTGAAATCTTAGCTCTTTCATTTACTGGAATGACAGTTTGGGGTAAGGTATTAAATGTCTTCATGCCTTGGTTTCTCCATGGAAAGGTGGAAATAACTCACTCCCTCCCTAACACATACATCCAGATACTGAATTAGCTTTAAGGACATTAATATATGTAAACTTAGACTAGCCTGTGGTATACGGCAGGGGTAGTGCAGTCTTTTGCTAAATCAGTTAAGCCCTTTCCTAAGGGTGCTAGAGAATTCATGAATGTACTTACTGCACTTCCAGGGAAACAGGAGGGAATTTTTTTACTTCTGAAAATGATGAAAAATTGGCACTAGCTTCAAATCACTTTCAAGTAAAATATGTGAAACCAGTTGTAAAAATAACTCAAACCCTTGGCATGGACACTAAATCCTTATAAATTGACTTCATGATTCCCTTCTTCCCTGTCAGAACTCCTCCAACTGTATTAAATGTTGCTAACTTCAGCTGATGTCTTCATCTATCTGGCACACCTATAAGTTCCTCAAAGATTCACATGTGCAAAACACACTGCAATTGGTATTGTTGACTTTAGTGCATTATTGCATAAGATCTTAGATTAGCTGATTACCATATCTATGCTCCCAGTTTCCCCCGTGACAGTGTGGTGTTGGACATGGGTCAGGCCCTGGTCAGCATAGCAGATTGGAATTACCGATCTATTGCTGGCCATTGATATCCATTGTAGGTGAGTTACTTACCTGCATTCATGCCTCTTTTTCCACAACCCTTAAAGGATATAAAAAATCCTACCACCTGTTCAGGTTGGTTAGAAGATCTGTGTGTCACAGCACATATAGCCTTCAGCAGGCTCTCTGGCAAAGTGCAAGAACTCAACAAGTACTCAGTTATTTTTAATACATTTTAGAGTACCAGGATTCCCTTTAGGTGTTTAATGAATAATCAAATTCAATAGACTTTCTTCACCCAATTTTTCCCTTAGGAAAAGCTCCAGAAAGCTGTGGCAAAACTGAGTGAACTCCATACAGAATGTATGAATCAGAAATCATTCATGACAACACAGATAATTGAGTGGCAGGTGAGAATCTGAGGTTATCAATCTCAAACTATTTTCCATTTTAGTGCTCAGGCACAGAGAGTGACTGGGCTAAAGTACAACAATGCTTTATTCTCACTGAACCTGACTAGAAAGATGAAATCCAAAGGAAAAAAACAGTTGTTTTATGACTGCTTATTTACTTCCATGAGATGTCATCACCAAGGCCTTCAGTCTTCCAATACTAATTGGTTGAGATTCCTGATACTCACTTAAAAGAAGTAGAATTGTGGTAGCCATGTGAATAGGCATAGCCTTGGCTTGATTTCACATGTTAACCACATCATATGGCATACAGGATTTAAACTTATCTCTTTATTGCAGTTACAATAGGACAGGGTCTGGCTGTCAGCTTTCTAGGTGCAGAAACTGCCTTGGAGAACATTCAGAAAACAGGCTCCCTCTAGGGAGCTTCATGTAAACGACTTCATTTACATGAAGTCAATAAAGGAAACCAGTTTGAGTTATGAGAAGCATCACAGCTGTGACAAGAACCTCAACCTGCAAGCTGAAGGCTTGTGGACCATCTCCATGTCTCTCCAGGCTTCACAGTATCAGAGACACATTCCTTTGTGGAAATATCTTTGGACTCCATTAGCTGTCAGTCCATGTGCACAGGCTAGTGAGTCAGTCTGCTTCTCCCAGGGTCATTTCCACCCTTTGCCTTCATGTATGGAGGGTGAGCCAGAGCTTCCAGAGGATGCTCTTCTGCCCCTCATTTCTGGCATCCTGGCCAGGGGAAGACCTTGAGTGTAGCTAACACATATGGGAAAGCCTTCAGTACAAAGAGGAACTCTGCTCCAGTCTCCATTAGGATCAGTCATCCTATACATAGGAACCATTAGGGTGACCCTTACCACAACACAAGCCTGCCACAATAGGACCTTCCTCGGCCAAGAATCAAGGACTTTCCTTCCAGCGCGGGTACTTAAAAGACAGAAATTCTTCAGGTGACTTTAGAGAAGTCAGAGCCAACCTCTCTGAGTCTGAGTGTCAACAGGGAGTTTGATACATTCTAAAATCTTGAAAGACTTATAGGAAAATTATGTCATAGCATACTATCATACATTCATTTTCTATGTGTGATAAATAGACAAAATTTGAAATTTGTGATTTTCTCAATTATTAAGTGTGCAGTTCAGTGGTATTAAGTACTTTCCTATTGTTTTGAAGTCATTACCCTATCAATCGCAGAACTTTTTCATCTCCAAGTGTGAGACTGTCCCCATTAACTAACTCCCATCACCTAGTAACCACTAATCTGTTTTCTGTCTCTACAAATTTAACTACTGTATATATCTGGTTTAAGTATAATCTATAATAGTTATCCTCTTCATTCTGGCATATTTCACTTCGTGGAATGTTAAGCTCTGATTCAAGGTTCATGCTTGTTAGCGTGGCCAGATTTTTATTCTTTTAAAATAACTACTCGCAATGGGTGATTCTCCATTATGTACTACATTTTGTTTATCCATTCATGTTGTATGGATGCTTGTTTTCTTTTATACTATTTATTATATTTTCTTGTTTCTAGGATACAGTAGAGATTCACAGACAAAAAATCAAGTCTGATTTTAAGAATCTCCATAGTTTTCTGCATGAGGAGGAGAAATCTTTTCTTTGGAGGCTGGAGAGGGAAGAAGAACAGATGCTGGAAAAACTAAGGGAGGTTAAGGCGAAGCTGGAGCAGAAGGGTGATGAACTTGAGGATCATAAGGTTGAGCTGGAGGCAAAATGTCAGGGCTCAGACCAGAATCTGCTACAGGTAAGGCTGTGGACTTAGAGAAGGAAAGGAGGATTCTGATATTGAGCTGTTGGGAGGAGAATTGTCAGGAATTATGAGAAGATCGGCTTCCACTGCTTCCACTCCAATGTGTGCCATAGTGTAGGAAATTATTCTCTATATTTTGCATCAGTATCATCAGGGTAGCTTCATTAGTCTATGGGGTTCCTGTATGTGAAATATAAAAGTATACTTCCCCATGACACAGTGCTCCACTCCTGTAATCCCAGTTAGTGGGGAGGCTCAAGCAGGAGACTATCCTGGGTGGTTTGGTGAGACTCAATATGAAATTAAAATTTAAAAAATATGGACTGAAGATGTTGGTCAGTAGTGGAGAACTTGCTTACCATGGGCAAGGCTCTGGGTTCAATCCTCAGCAGTGTTAAAGAAGAGAAAAGAAAAGTTTCTCCTCTAATGGATAGCTTATGTCATCATTTCCCCTTGGCCCATCTACACAAATGCCTGTCTGTCTGTCTTTTTCCTAAAATACTGTTCCAGATGACAGATGGTGACAGTGGGGCAGCCGAAAGCAGGATAAACTTTTTCCTGATTTGCTGGTAGAGTGCTTATTCCAGACCTACTGTGGGGCTTCTTACAGCTGCATGAAAGGTACACCATTAAGATAAACCACTGCAGCTGTTAATTCTGGCTCCCACTAGTGGGACTGGAGGTCACACCCTCCTTGAGAGGGTAGCACATCTGCTCCACCACCTTGTGATATCAGTTGCCACCACTTTGGTGGCTTAGTCTCAGGAGCTGTGTATGCAGCCACCATGGAGGACCTTTGTGACAAGGGCTGTACATGGGCTCACTCTGAAGGACTTCAGGTCCCTGAGAGCCTGTCTCGCTAGATAGAGGCTGAGCAAAAATCCTGCCCCAGTCCCCAGCAGCCACAGGCCAATCCCACTGTAACTACTGCTCTTCCCCACAGGCTTCTGCAGGGAGGTCACAGCCTCCTGAGGAGTGGGCAGAGGCTGGGTGGGATCATTGCTCCTGCCTCTGCAGCAGTGTCTCAGGCTGGGTCCCTTTTTCCTTCTTGGGGAGTTGTGTTTACAGACAGTGTCTCCCATGCCACAGCCCATGGAATCCTGATGCTAACACACTTGCCTTTTTTCCTTACAGGATGTAAAAGGCACCTTGAGCAGGTGAGTCCTATGTGGACAAAGGAAGTGAAGGTCCAGGTAAACAGAGCTGAATGGAGAGGACCACTGAGGAGTCTCTGCCTATGCTTCTTCCAGGGCTTGTGTTGTGAAGCTGGAAATGCCTGAGGCCTTTTCCTTGTCGATTAAGACTGTGTGTGATGTTGCTAAGCTTTACTTGGATGTGAAGAAAATATTAAGACGTCATCAAGGTATTTGAGCACGGCACTCCCTCAGTGCTTTGAGGCAGAGATTGTGGAGTTATATTCAGCAAAGCTGTCATGCAGTCCCTGTTCTGTGTGCTCAGATGATGAGTATGTACTACATCCTGATCACCTGTAGGACCTTCTGATTCCTGCTGTGTGCTATGGTGACAGCAACTCCCATCATTCAGTTTCCACATCTGAAAAATGAGATAGTGACAGGTTCCTTTCATTCAGTTGTGCTGAAAACCCACTACATTCACATGTGTGAGCTTCTAGTACTTGTCTGGCAGGTGGGCCCAGGGCATGCTGTTAGGTGTGGCTCTAGTACTTCTTGTAAATATTTCAAATTCTAAAATGCAAGAAAAGTGGGTGAGAATTATAGACTAGGTCTTAACTCATATAACACAGTTAAATTTAGAACCATGTAAGAAGAAAAAGAATTAGTGCTGCAAGCTTGAGTTTTCTGCTCCCTTTTCTTTTGTTAAACACTGCTTTCTATAGTTCCAAAATTTCATATCCATAATTGCCAAATTGACCCAAAAGCTTTGAGAATTTTACCATTCATTTGGCTGCAGAATTGCCTTTAACTTGAAATGATTTGGTGACTGCTTGAGTTATCTATTGCCACCAACAAACTACTAAAATTACATAAAACAGTGCAAACATATGTCACAGACTTTATGAGTCAGGGATCTGGGTACAGCTTGGGGGGCCCTCTCCTTAGGGCCTAAGGAGGCTGCAGTAAAGGTGTGGCCAGGCTGTGTTCTCATTTGAACACTGTTCTAGGGAAGGTTCTTGCTTTCTTACTCGCTGGCAGGATTCATTCCCCTTGGGTTGCAGGATGTAGGGCCCTGGCTTCTTGCTGGCTGTGGCTGGAGGCTGCCCCAGCTCCACAGGCCTCCTGTCAGCCCCTTGCACATGGGCATCACATATGGCCAATTATTTTTTCAGCATGAAGTCAGGAGAAGATTCTCCATAGCATATCTGCTGGTAAGATGGGTGTAAATGATGAATCACAATCACAGGAGGTATATTCCCTCATCTTAGCTATATTCTGCTGGTCAGAAGCAATTCTCAGGCCCTGCCCACACTTATGGAATTGTACGGGAGCCTGAACACCAAGGAGGGGGGTCCAGAGATAGGTCCCCCTTGACCTTGAGTCTATCTGCTTCAGGGTACTCATCTGAACTGCCCTGATATGCGGCTACTTAAAGTTCTGCTTTATCCCACTTACTTTGAATATACTTTTACTTCAGAAATACTGATTCCTTTAGTCACAGGATTCTGCCTTAGACCTTGCAAGGAGAAGATATAATTTGGCGAACAAGACCTTGAGGGATATCAAGACCTTGTGCTGGTATCTGAGATTCATATCTTAAGATTAGGAGATCCTATGGATCATGAGATTGTACCTCTTCAGTTGAAAAAAAAAAGAACAACTGCTGCGCCACACTCTGCTGTTTTTCAGGGTACAATTTATACATTTTGCCTAGTGGATTTGAAATGGTACCAGTTGTATTCTTAATTTCAGTTTCTCCCATTTTACCAGTGAGGTTGAGATGTTTGTTTTGTTTTGTTTTGTTTATTTTTCTTTTTGTATATCTATTAGTCCTTCAGATGCTCTGGTTTAACTGTGATTATCTGTGATTTAACAATTTTTATTTAGTTCTGTTGTATTTAATTTCTGGAAGCTTATTGTTGCTAATAAGCTCCGATTTGTGAATATCATTTTACACTTTCATTCTGTTTCTTGATAGAATTTCAAATCTAGGGGGGAGTTGGTGATCTTTGAATGCAAAGAGAACAGTCCTCATTAGGCACTGAATTTCATCCATGAATTAGATTCATTCGTGGGGATCACCTTGTAGTTCTTCCTTATAACGTCATGATGTAGTGATATGATGAATTACTTTCCAATATTAAATCCAAGTTGTGTTCTTAAGATAAACAAAATTTATAAATACATCTAACACAAGTATTATATATAACATACAAATCTGACAGCACAGTTTAAAGATACTATCCCCGTCTTTATTGTGCATCAGCCATATAGCCAGATAAGAGCTGGTTACCTAGAGTAGTTAACATAAATGTAACCAATGGGGCAAAGAAGAACCCTGACATCATAAAGGTAGGTAAAGAAAATTTAGCTTCCAGTTGTGGTCTAAGAGCATTAGGATCACAGCCATGATGTGCAAGGCACTTGCTAAATAGGTGGAGATCTTCTTATGCATCAGATCTGCTGATATGGAAATTGAGTTCCTATATTTTATTAAAGTTCTGTAAACATATTTCTGTTTCCTTACCATAGTCACTGCTCCGTGAGCTCTGTTGTGATGCATTGTTATGTTTGCCCTACAACTTGATTTTTTCCAGTTGATAATGAAACCATCCTTCTACTCATTGTATTTACATAAGAGGAGAGAAAAACCTACACCTCTAATAACATGTAACGTATATAGACACAAAGTTTAATTCATGTATGTAAAATCTACAGCTTGCATAATGTATTGTATATTGTGTACTGTAAATAACAAAATGTATTAACATATAGATGACTGGCTTTTAATTTATTATAAAATATGTATAACAGGTATGCCATATTTGTTATATTATAAATATTTTAAATGATATGTGTGTATATGGATATAACATTTGATTTGCTCTTTATACTATTTTTACACTCTTTCTTCCTGCATGTCTATGTGATTATGAAGTAGAGATGGGTAAGGGCTCACTGCAGCTCCACTGTTCCACGACCTGGACACCATCAGGGGAGAAGAGGGGCTTCGGACAGGACAAGAACCATGTTCTATTTAGTTCTGGTCTTTGCCAACACTGAATGACTAAGTGATCATGAAGATGATGGAAAAGTAGGAAATTACTGCATCCCTGGAGTTTTACTAACAATAGGCAAAAAGTAACTCACTGGATTCTCCCCAACATTCTCTGCAGTAGATATTACAATTTTCACTTTATGGGACTAGCTGATATAACTAGTAAAAACTAATTATTGGATTTTAATACAGATTGGTTTTATTTAAAATTGTATTCTCAATATAAAAAGAAATGTTTGGTTTTATTTATATTGCAGTCATTGTGACTCTGGATCCAGATACAGCTCATCTGGCCCTAACTCTATCTCAAGATCAGAGGCAAGTGTCTCGTGAATGCAGCCAGCAGAATCTTGAAGTTTCTTCCAGGAGATTTACCACCTTCCCTTGTGTCCTGGGCTGTGAGGGCTTCACCTCAGGAAGACATTACTTCGAAGTGGATGTTGGAGAAGGCAGTGGCTGGGATGTGGGAGTTTGTATGGAAAATGTGCAGAGAGGCCTTGGCATGAAAAAGACACCTGAATTTGGATTCTGGGCCATCCAGCTGTGCACAGAGAATGGCTATGTAGCACTGACCTCTCCCCCCACTGCCCTTGAGCTGCATGAGCGGCCTCTGGTGGTGGGGGTTGTTCTGGGCTATGAGGCTGGACCTGTGTCCTTTTACAACATGACTGGTGGCTCCCACATCTTCACCTTCCCCAGGGCTTCCTTCTCTGACACTCTGAGGCCCTTTTTCCAGGTTTATCACCATTCTCCTTTGCTCTTGTCTCCACGAGGTGAGTAAGGAAAGGAGAGAAGTCTCCTGGGCTTGAAAATATGGGAATTCCATAAGGGCAAAATGTGGTCCAATTTCTTCATTGCTATTTCTCCAGTCCCTAGAATAGTGTGGAGTTTTAGGAGGATATTTAATAAGTCTGTATTGAATTAATGGATCTAAAGACAGTAAGGATACCATAGAGAGTCAGTCTGACTGAGGGGAAACCGAGATAATGTGATGATTACTTATGGGCCTCTGCACCCTCCTCAGTGCACTTAGCAATTTGATTTCCAGTGCTGATTGGTTGATGAGTGGGGTGACCCCAAGGTCACAAGCTCTCCTTTTCCCACTGTGTTTGAGCCATTTGTGTTCCTCATGGGGGATGAAAGAGACTTTCAGTTGTCTGCTTACTGCAAAAGAGAGTGACTGTTCCAAACACTAGCATATTGATTGGAGCTACAGTCCTGGACACTGCCAGACCTGTGAGCTTGCCTTGGGAATTATCAAATAAGCTATGAGAAAGCTAAAGTTAGCTTACCGTGAGAGGCTTCAACTGGAAAAGAGAGTATGAGTAAGAAATGAATTTCAGTGGAGCTGAGTTCTAGGAAAAAGACGGGTTGGTCTTTTCCAGAGCATGCTAGAGCCAGCTACTTTGAAATATTTTAAAATCACAGTCAATAGTTATTGTTGGAATGACTATTGGTAGTCTTTTTTTATGATTGTGTTATGATCAAACAGCCCTTAACTTAATATATAGGTTTATTAGGAAAAGTAAGTTCCAGTCAGTTTTACATGGCCATACCTGAGTGGGCAAATGGCATGTCCAGAGTGAAATTAGTCAAATCACAAACAACCTTAAATTTGATGAGCACAGTGACAAAATTGCCAAATGTTATGATAATTTGTAGCTGATATAAAGATTAATGCTTGCTGACGTTGAGGTCCTCTGACATCCTGTTTCTAAAATCAGAGCAAATGAAGCCAGAGATGTTTCTGGATGTCAGAGGTGTTCTGGGGCCTCCATCTCTGCCCAAGGAGACCTTGAAGAGGTCAGATGATCCACTAAGCCCCCAGTGTCAGAAGTGCTCCCGGTCAGGCCAGTGGGGGCTAAGTTGTCACGAACAAGGGAATGGTTCCAGAATATGCTACTCTAAAAGATGCCACAGAGCCTGGGATTATTTGAGCTAAAAACAGTTGAGAAAAACATTTAATGAAAACTCCCTACTCTCCCCCTTTTAGCCTGAAGGCAGGACCTAAATTTTAAAGGTGTCTCCCCCTTTCAATCTCTAGCAAGGACAGAAGTTAATTACCAAAGACCTTCCTAGTGTAAGTATCAGAGGAAACATCACAACAAATCTTGTAAGAACCAGGCTTCCTGTGCCATTAGATTTCCTATATATTTGCCCTCCCACAGCTTGTCACCTTAGAAATTCAATGTCTTCATTTTTTGCCATGCAATTTAGCTAACAATTTATTGCTCTTTCTTTAAAATGCTCTAAAAGTCCAAGTTCTAATCACTCTTTTACATTAATTATCACTCTTATTCCCCTTTGCATGTGATGCACTTGTTAAAAAGTACCTGTTTGCTTTTCTCTTGTGAATGTGTCTTACATTAGTCTAGTTTATAGGGCCCTCTTATTTGTTCTTTGACATCGGAACTGTAGCCCTCTAGCACCTATTGAATAACTGAGAAGTTCACCTTTGTGCAGGAAACAGGAAAGTGTGATATGGGTATCATTAAATTCCCTTCTTCCTGCTCTTTGGAAAATAAAAGGAAAAGTGTGATGAAAGCAACACCGAAAGAACTATTGAAGAAGGGCTTTTGCAGAATTCCTGCTGCTGCCTGATTATGTTCCTTACACCCTTTGCCTGCAGTCACTGGAGCAATGGTGTCCACAATTGGACCCTGAAATTTCTTGTTCCTTGTAGGGCTGCCAGTCAGATGCTGCTTGTTTGCAAAAACTTCAACCTGAATGCTGACAATCACATGCTCATGCTGCCAGCCACTCAGATATCACATATCTCAACTGTCCATCCTGGGGTGTGGGCAACTCCTGACTGGTTCCTTGGGGTCCACAGCCCACATTGATACTCTAGAGCATCTTAGGCTCATTTTAAGGAAAAACTAACAAAAAGGCCTACGGCCACCATGAGAGATCCAACCAGGCATTTACTAGGGAAGACGAGAGGTGGCATCTGATTCCTAGAAATCTCTCCTTCTGTTAAGAGCTCTCGGGGACAGCTTGTACACCATATCCCCTCCCAAGTCCCAGTAAAAATAGACACCCCAGACCTTCTGGATCTGAGGTGCCTTTAGAGTAGCAGCTCCCCTTCTGTATTCATGAGCTAGTGAATAGAATTTCCTGCCTGCTCCCAGAACTGTTTGCTCATTTGCTGAGGGTATGGAGTAGGCAAAGAAGCTGCTGCTTAGTAAACAGGACAGTTACACTGGGCCCTGTGCCCAGAGGCTTCAGATGGGCATTGAGAGGGTAGAGGACTCTTATTCTGTGGAACTCTGTCTTCTGTTTATCTATTATTGTCTTTATTTTCTATTAGTCACCTATCCTATGTTCCTTGTCAACATTTAGTAGTCTATAAGAGCTCCCACTTTTCCTGGCTGGTGATACCAATTTGGAGTTATCTGAACCTGTGTGATCTGAGTTTCAATTCACGGGGCTATAGCAAGGTACAGGAAGAAAAATAGGACCTGCTTGTCCACCACACTTAATATTTGAGGGATCACGGGTTAAGTTTGTTCCTTACCTGGACCTTTGTTACTCTAAAAAAGTAAGAACTCAATTTTAGATATGAGGAAGAAATGTTGTTATTGGTGTGTGGAACTTGCCCCAAACCAGAGAATCAGAACCCATGTGGCTCCTTGGGTTCTCTGGAGAGTACTTCTGTGACCTACTGAAGCCTGTTCTGCTCCAAAAAAATTAAAAAGGACTCGGGTGAGTGGTGCAGTAGGGTACTGATGTCCTGCAGCTCTGGAGTGACATGGAGGGACTTGACCCAGGCTGTTACCAGGGGTCAATACCTTGGTCTTGCTTAGGGCCTCCCCTACTTCAGGTGAGGCCCAAGACTGACATCAGCCTGTCTCCTCTCCCATGCTCCCTGTCCTTATGAGGTCCTTCATGTGTTCAGGCCCCACGAACAGTGGGCCTGCGCTTGGACTGGATAAAGCCTCAGGTTTCAGGACCTGATATGAGGAGGCACCAGGACTTCGGATGTCCCCAGGTTGAACAAGTTGGGATGTGGGACCCTTGGGGCCCTCTGAACTGTAGTGTCCCCTTCCTTATGGGTTCCTGCAGCCAGGGGAGCAGCAACTCCCAAAGGAGAATGCAGGGGTTTAAAATACTCTTTCCTTGCCATTGTCACATATGAGAGGCAACAGGTTAAAGCTCTGAAAGAACAATGTCACGAATAAGAGTTTATTTCTCGTAAACCTATTCACCAGTTTGTCTCTTCTAATAACTTTTTCTCTTGTTTTTCTTTCTCCATTGGACCTTCGGGCCATTTCTGGTGGTGCACAGGGCAAAAAGAGGATGCCCAAGCAGAGGATTCCTGGAGTTCCTGCAGAGAGTCCCATGACACGAAGTACTGGAGGTCAGGACATCACCTGAATCCCACTGCAGGACCCTGGGGACAGCGAAGGGTTTTCCCAGACCCCAGTGCTGGACAGGATGACACTCTGGTGCCATCCAAGCGCCAAAAGACCCTGCCTGCTGCCCCAGCCCTGCCTTGCTCAGACCACATTGAGCCCTAAACCAGCCCTGTCCATCTCTGTAGTCATCAAGGTCCCTCACCCACATACTGGTTGCTTCTTACAGTTACAGAGAGGCTGGCTGTACTTGGTGACCTTGACTCTTTCTCTGATGGGTCTCTGTGAGGGGCTGAGGCCAGGGGACCAGGCTGGTGTCTCATAGGAACAGGACCTTCCCGTAGAAGACTCTTAAGTAGGTGTCTTAGTTACTTTTCTCATTGCTGAGACAAAATACCAATATCCAAAGTTAAAGAAGGAGAAGTTTATTTGGTGTACAGTTCATAGAGGTTTCACTCCATATTGGCTGGCTCCAAGGAAGAGTGGTACATGGCAGAGGAGCATCAGAGAGGAGAAATAGTTCATTGCAGAAAGAAGACAGCAAAAGCAAATAAGAGATGGCCACAGCTCTTTCTATCCCTTATATTTTATCCAGGCTACTTAGGGAGGGTAGCGCTCACACCCTTAATCCTAGTGCCCTTGAGCCTAGCATTGCACCATGAATCAATCCCAGAGTCACACACTCTAGATCCAGCCACCTCTGAAAAAGCCCCACCTGTAACTGCCTGAGGCTTTTGGGGGGGGGGGCGAAACGGGACCATCTAGGCACAAGTCCTGACACTGGAGAAACACAAGAATAATGTGATGGAACTATGCACACTCATTGTGCCCATTTCTAAAGCTTGACATGTGACTGAGATGTTGTTTACAGATTTAAAAGGTGACAAGGGACACCCAAAGAAGAATGTGTTCCGAAACCCCTTAGAGGGTCTGAAGAGTGTTTGTATTCTCTCAATGCCTGTTTTTAATAGAAATATAAAAAGAAGTTGCCCACACATGATTTAGGTGGATGGTCAAAGAAAGACAAGTCAGTGTCAGTGCATTGCTATCTCCCCTGGCTTTTGTATGTGACCTCTTCTCACTCACTTTTCCCTGTGATGGTACTGATTTCATTTCAGTTCTGTAGATTCACACACTGGAGTCCATGACGTAGAGTGAAGCCCTGTGGGACCCACAGCACACACCACAGTGCGAGGTCCACTGTTCCATGCAAGGACATACACGTGTGCTGCACACTGTAGACTGCAGAGCTGCTGACTTCCCACTTGGCTCCTAAATTTGGGATTTTTAAGAACTTTCCACATGGCTGTGTCTCCCTTAATGGCCCTCAAGTGCTCCTCTGGGGTGCGTTCACTTCTCCTCTCCTCCAGGCGTCCTGTTCACTGTCTCCTTGAAGTATCCCCGTGAGGTATTTCCAGTTCCAAAAGTAACTAAGTGCCACCAGGTGTTCTTTCACAGGCTCGAGAATTGTAGACCCCCATTTTGGTTTCTTCTACAGCCTCAACCACCAGCAGTGTTTTCTAGTGTTGTCACTGGGGAGTAAAGTGATAAGTATGACCGCTGCTTTGTTGTCCACCAGTTTCTGTTACTAAGAGTTGTAAATCTCTTTACATAATTGTTAGCATTTCAGTTTCTCCATCTGTAGTCTGCCAGATGATATATTTCATCATGTTTTCTTTGTCTTTTGTATTTTCTTACTAAATTTCACATGTAACAGTCTGGATATTAGTCATTCATTGTATCTCAGTATTTTAAGTACTTTCACACAAATATGTTAGCGTTTTTGTAGATCCTTAATTGAGGAAACTTTCTTTTAATGTAATAAAATCATTAATTTCTCCCTTCTGACTTGTGCTAAGAGATTTACTTCAAGAAATTCCTCCTTATGCCTAATTTGCCTCTTTTATTATATTACAAACTTGAGAATCTACCTTACACTTTAGGCATCTACTGCATTAGGTTCCCACCTCCGTTCAGGACTAAGAATTAATTTTGCAAAAAGCAGACTAACAAGAGAAAAACATAGAGGAGGGAAGTTTTTTCCCTCATCCCTCTGAAGATAGTTTGGGTCCAGTGTAGTGACTTCATCCAGGAAGGGATTTTTCCTGGCTATCTGTCCCTCCTCGGTGTGTGCTGTCTCTGTGATATAGTTCAGTCCCCACCATCAATGTAGAAGGGTTCCTTTGCCCCTGCAGCATTGCCAGCATTTGCTTATTATTTGGTTTCTTAATGGTAGCCATTCTTTCTGGAGTAACATAGAGTCTCAGTGGTGTTTTAACTTGCATTTCTCAAATGGCCAGCAATGTTGAACATTTTTTCATATGTTTATTGGCCACTTATACTTCTTCTGAGAAGTGTCTATGCATTTCACTTGCCTATTTTTTATTAGGTTTTTTTGGGGGGGGACTAATTTTTTTGAGTTCTTTATATGTTCTAATAGTAGTCTTGTGTCTGAGGAATAGCTGGCAAACATTTTTACCCCATTCTGTAAGGTGTCTCTTCACTCTGTTGGTTGTTTCCTTTCCTGCACAGAAGAAATTCTATTCAATCCAGTGATTCCACTTCTGGAGATCCTGCCAAAAGACTTTAATTTATCATATTACAGTGATACACGCATATCTATATTTACAGGAGCACAATTCATAATAGCTAAATCTTGGAAGTGGCCTATATATCCATCAACAGATGAATGCATAAAGAAAATATGGTGTATATATACACCACAGAGTACTGCTCTGCTATAAAGAATGATAAACTTGAGTCATTTGTAGGAAAATGGATGCACCCTGAGACTATAATATTAAATGAAGTAAGTCAGATACACAAGCTTAAATATCACATGGTTTCTCTTATATGAGAAGCCCTAAATATAAATAAAGAGCAAAATAAAAGACAGATGAGAGAAGTAGGGAGACAGATCTGTTTTTTTGTATGGGAAGGGGAGGAAGAGATGAAAGAGGACAGGAGAGGAATGGTACGAAAAAAGAATTGAGATGTATTATGTACATGAGCCAACTCCCCACAAGGAATGTAATCATTATGTATTGCAAATGTACTAATAAATTTTAAAATTAAATAAAAAGCTATTGAGACTTGTTTCATAGCCTCATAAACAATCTGTTCTGGAGAATGTTCTATGTGCATGTGAGAAAATTTTGTGTTCTGCTGTTTTTGGATAAAGTATTCGGTAGATACCTGTTAGTTTGTTTAGTTTTTTTTTTTCTTTAGTGTTAATAAATCTCCTCTTTCATTATTTGTCTTCCATTAACTTTTTGATCAAGTACTTAAAATAAATCATGAAGGCCTCCAGATACTATCATTAAATTTTTTATTTCTTTGATTCTGCCAGTTTTATTTCATGCAGGTGGGGCTCTATTGTTAAGTGCATATATATTACAGTGTTATGTTTTCTTGATGATTTGATGCATTTATCATTTTACAATATTTTTCTTAGTCTCTTGTAACAGAGTTAATTTTAAAATTTATTTTGCTTAATCATCATGTAGCTAATCCAGTTTTCCCTTGTGTATATTTGTGTTATGCCTCTCATTCTTTAATTCATCCTATTTGTGGTTTTGACTCTAATGTACGTCTCTTGTATATAGTTACATGATTTTAAAAATTTATTCTTCCAACATCCTGTTTTTAACTCACCTGTACTTACTCTGTTGCTGATAAAGCAGGATTTACATCTTTCATTTTGAGGTATACTCATTTTTGGTGTTATTTTTCTCCATTACTACTTTATTTTGTGTTAAATATTTTTCTTGTATACCATTTTAATGATTTCTCATTTCTTTTAGCACACTCTTTGTGTTATTTTCCTAAGGGTTGCTTTGAAGATTACAAGTAATATTTTACATGAATTGGTTTGAATTAATACTAACTCAATAATATCTGAAAATTGCTAATCTCAATAATATCTAAAAGTTTTACTACAACGTAGTTCCAGTCAACCTCTCTTCCTTTGTCCTATTATTGTCAGACAAATTGTATTTTTTATATCCCATGCCTAAGTACCCAGATTTATTACAACTTTAGTGCTATTTCAAAAGAAATAGAAGGAAAAAAGAATTATGAATAAAAAATACATTTATGCTATCTTTTATATTTCTTAGGTAGCACCCTTTCCTGGTACCTGTATTTCTCCCTGTGGATACAGGTTCCTGTCTTGTGTCCTTTCATATCGGCCTGAACCATTTTTTGTAGTATTTCTTATAAAGCAAGACTTTTTGTGATGGACTCCGTTTTATTAGTGAATGTACTCATTTCTCCACTTTAGAAAGAGTTTTTCTGGTTGTAGAATTCTTGGCTGACTTTTCTTTCAACAAATTTTAATGTGTCACATGTGGACCCCGACCTCCGTGGTTTCTGATTAAGGTGATCTGCTAATCATCTCAAAGATCTGTTATATGTGAGTAGTTGCTTCTTTCTTCCTTCCTTCATGATTCTTTGTCTTTTAATCACCTGCTCATTATGTATGTAGACAGAGATCTCTTTGAGTTTATCGTATGTGAAATTCATTGAGCTTTGAATTTGGGGAGTTTGAGGCCATTATTTCTTCAAATATTCTTCTCCTCTTCTATTTCTTTTTCCTCTGGAGTTTCCTTGTGCATATACTAATATATGCTGATTGTACCCCGCAGGTTCTGTACTTTCCCTTTATTCTCTCTTCTTTCTGTTCCTCTTCCTGGAGAATCTCTACTGACCTTTGTCCAAGCGCACTGACCCTTTCTGTGCTCTCTGCTGATGATTGTTGGTGGATTTTCCTTTCACTCATTAGCCTTTAATCCTAAGAGTGTTTATTTGGGTGGAGAACTTTAATAAGTAAATATTTTTGTAGCGCTTGGAACATAGCCATTATTTAATAAAGCTTAGCTGCCTTTAGGTGCATTATTGCTAGCTGCTTCTGGGACTACTCAAGGAAATTATCCACTATAAACTTCAGCTTACCCTTACAGCAGGATTTAGTCAATTATTTATCCTTATCAGGGAGATTAAAAAGCTATATTTCATAGTCTTGTGACAGCTAAGTACAAACTATTTTCAAAGGATTCTAAGACTCTCTTAGGGGATGTGCTTTGCCAGGTCTATCATTCTGAATTCTTCAATACAGTCTCTTCTTATATTTATACTCTTCTTTATTCCTATATTCTTCCTCCCACTTCTTTGTGGTACTTATTCCCTTCAGGTTTATCATCTGGAAAGTTTGTTCTCGTGGTCACTTTGACTCTTTGATGTTACTAAATCTCTTCTCAGTTTTCATTCCCTGAAGCTCAGTGCTTCTCAAAATTCCATTTTCATCTTCTCCCAGTCCAAAGCATCTCTGTATCTTACAGAGTGGAGTGAAGCAGCTCTCTGGAAAACCAATAATCACTATGCGTTCTGGGATTTTCTGGTAGCATTTACATTGCTAACCTTCTTAAACCATCACCACACATGTACATACAATGTATATATAATCCAGGACACACAGGCACACAGCA